CCCCAGCTCCTGTCCCGATCCCCAGCTCCTGTCCCAATCCCCAGCTCCTGTCCTGATCCCCAGCTCGTGTCCTGATCCCCAGCTCCTGTCCTGATCCCCAGCTCATGTCCTGATCCCCAGCTCCTGTCCTGATCCCCAGCTCCTGTCCCAAATCCCGACCCCCAGCTCCTGTCCTGATCCCCAGCTCCTGTCCCAAACCCCAGCTCCTGTGCCAAACCCCAGCGCTGCACAGCACCCTGAGAAAGATCCCCCTCCTTTGTGCTGTGCAGAGATGGATGACATCCAGCTAGGGCTGGAAAGTTCATCCCCCAGAACAACCCTGGTAACACAAGCTTCTCYTGGCAGAGACAGCGCTGTCACTGGATCCCTTTCCTGGTGGCAGTGACAGCAGCGGCCATCGCTGTCTTCCTCGGGAGTTACARGCTGTGAAGGAGCTCTTTGATGGCTGATTTCACTGCAGGAACTTCACTGCAGGCTGACTTCACTGTATAAACGGACCTCTGCTTCACCAAAAGCAACGTGACCTCACCGTACGTTCTGCTGTTTTGTACATGCACGTTTGGTTCATACCCCGAGCTGGTCTCTCTCCAGCCAATTCCCAATAAACGGGGAGATCCCCCTTTCCCGAGCTGTGATTATTCTGTTCCTGCTGAAGGCTGCACTGCCCAGTTCCTGAGGCACTGATGGACAGAGCCCCTCTGGTCACCGCTGCCATGGCTCCACAGGGCAAGGGGGACAGGGCATCCCGTGCCCTTGGGATCCAGCCTGCTTGGGTTTTATGCCCCCCAAATTCTCTTCCTGTATTTATTGCCTCCCTAAATGGGAGGTGCTCAATCCTGGGCCATCTCTACTCTCACCTGACAAACAAACCCAGCTCARGGGGGCTTTTAGCAGTCCCCTCATGTGTCCTTTTCCCACCTCCCACCTACCGGGCCCTGTTCTATCCCATTCTTCCCGCCTGTCTTGTGGCCAAGCATTCCCAAGCCACACTGGTTTCCTTTTGGCTATGAGCACCACATGAATTCATCACAGACAGGGCTTTGAAGTCCTTTTTCAGCTGCACYGTGCAGGTTTTACAGCAGCACTTGCCCTTCATTCATGTGCAAGCTCAGATACAAGTAAATACACATGAAATACACAGGGAATATACAGGAAATATCCACGCAGCAAACACACACGGAGCCTACAATAAACTTCACCAATTCAAAGCACCAGAGTGCTCAAATTTTTTATTCATCCTCAGCTGCTGATGCAGATAAATACACATTGTCCTCAGAGTGCAATGTGCAGGCAGGACCGAGGCAGCAGAGCAGCTGTGAGCACACACATCCACACAGTCATCTTCATTCATGTACAATATTTGATTTTCCACCGGCCTGCGGTGACTGTCACACTTCAGTCCTCAAGTTCAGAGAGATGCAGGGASCACCTCACAGGGAACTGGATATTTGCCTTGATGGAGTGAGGAGGACCAGAAAGTCTRAGTATGCTCGTGTTTCACAAGGCAACCGCTGGAAGAGACACRACCTCGCTGGAAATGCAGAGATCCACGAAATCGCTCTGCGCACTGAAAGCCTCCCGGAGCTGCCGGCACCAGGCATCCAGCGCATCCCTCAGCTCCGCGCACAGGCTCTCCGGGACGCTGAACGAGTAGATCTGGACCCTGAGCCCGTCCTGTATCCTGGGGCAGGATGCCCGGGCGGTGAACACCCTCAGYGGGGTGAGCGCCAGGCAGTTCTCGCCTGCCTCGGCGCTGGCGAAGGTGTACACGGCGGGGTAGCCCAGCAGCACCCCGGCCACCGTGCACAGGTTCCAATCGCCGGGCACAACCTCGCTGGCGGTCACCGGCTCGGYGCTGGCGGCCTCGGCGTCCCGCAGGTGGCCCAGGAGGGCGGCGAGGTGGCCGTGGATGGTGCGAGCCTGGGAAGCGGAGCACAGAGCGGGGTCCCGCAGCTCCGCCGACACATCCACGATGGGAGCGGGCCGGGCGCGGAGCACAGCGCGGAGCCGCTCCAGGGCCAGCCCCGGCCGCAGCAGCAGCGCCGAGCCGCCCATGGCCAGCACATGGAGCCGGCCCGGGGCCAGCCCGGCCTCCCGCAGCCGGTCCAGGTACCGCCGCAGCTCGGCCGGGCYCGCCGCCCCGCAGTCCCACAGCAGCGCCGGCTTCAGCCCCGCCGCCACGGCCAGCACCTCGGCGGCAGCATGCAGAGCCCGGGATGCGGGCAATCGCCGCCTCCGCCCGGCCCCGGGACCCTGCAACTCACGGGCCGCCGCCACCAGCAGCGGGACGGACAGCGCTCCGGGCCCCGGAGACATCGGTGGAACCCTGGGCAGCGCCCCGGGGAGATCAGCGGAACCCCGGGCAGAGAGCCGGGACCATCAGCGGAACCCTGGGCAGAGCGCCGGGACCATCAGCGGAACCCCGGGCAGAGAACCGGGACCATCAGCGGAACCCTGAACAGCGACCCGGGACCATCAGCGGAACACCGGGCAGCTCTCCGGGGCGATCAGCGGAACACCGGGCAGAGAGCCGGGGAGATCAGCGGAACACCGGGCAGAGAGCCGGGGAGATCAGCGGAACCCTCGGCAGCGACCCGGGGCGATCAGCGGAACACCGGGCAGAGAGCCGGGAGCATCAGCGGAACACCGGGCAGAGAGCCGGGGCGATCAGCGGAACACCGGGCAGAGCGCTGGGACAATCAGCGGAACCCTGAACAGCGCCCCTGGACCATCAGCGGAACGCTGAACAGCACCCCGGGATCATCAGCGGAACACCGGGCAGCTCTCCGGGGCGATCAGCGGAACCCCGGACAGACCCCCGAACCCATCGGCGGAACCCCGGACAGCGACCCGGGGGGATCAGCGGAACACCGGGCAGCGCCCCGGGATCATCAGCGGAACACCGGGCAGAGCGCCGGGAACATCAGCGGAACACCGGGCAGAGCGCCGGGGCGATCAGCGGAACCCTCGGCAGTGTCCCGGAGCCATCAGCGGAACACTGAACAGCGCTCCGGGACCATCAGCGGAACTCTGCCCTCGTCAGCCCCGCGGTTCCGGGGAACGCTGGCGGTTCCGGGGCGGTCCCCAGATGAGCCCCGGCCCCGGGCGGAGCCGCCTCCCTGCGCGGGGCGGAGCGCGGCGCCATGGCCGGGGAAGGGAGGGGAACGCTCCCAGCCCGGCCACAAAGGAGGGGAGCGGCCCTTCCAACCCAATTCTGGGACGTACGGAGTTACGCTACCCCATCTAAAACACAGCCTCTAAAAAACACCACGTTGTAAGAAGAGTATCAGGTCTGAGGTTGCTGCTACAGCCCCGTTAAAGCAAAAAAAAATTACACAAAGTGATACTGCCCAGGCACGTTTAATAGAGGACACATTACTTTCTTTCCCCCCCCTCTAATGATCAAGTGTTTATATACATTGCATTAATAGTAATTAAAAAATATTACAGAATTGAAAATCTGATTTATACAGATGGGTTGCTTAAGGAAACAGCTGAAAAGGGTGAAGGAGTTGGAAGTATTCCTGTAATCCCCTCTGTTTTGAGCCACTTCCAAAATAAAAGCACCAAAGAYTGCTGGACTTGTGGAATCAGATGACGAGATTTACAGATTTTATTTCTTCAGATTTAGGCAAGGCACTGGTTAAGAAACATTTCTCTCTATGTACAACATAGGAAACCCCGGAGGAAGGCGRGGGTCTGTCACTGTGCGGGGAGGGGCTGTGCCATGTGCATGGCCGGGGCTTGCATGGGCCAGCCCTCCTGGTGGTTCTGCAGCAGCCGGTAGAGCTGCTTCAGATGTGCCACGATGTTGTCCTTGATGTCCGGCGTGGAGATCTGCAGCCGCACGCTGCCGCTGTCGAAGGAGCGCGTGAAGTCTCCGGAGAACATCTCGTAGATCATCCGTGCCACAACGGGGATCACCTGTCAAAGAAAATGTCACTTGTTTTAGCCTAAAGACACAGAATAACCCYGTTCCCCTGCAGGAACCCCTGTCCTGGATGCAGGGATGGTTCCCACAAGACCCTAAAACACTCACAAACCAATTCTATTCAGCACGTGTCACATTTTATTTGCTCYGCCGAAACCCACAACCTCACTGGAGTTTTCCTGCTGTCAGGTCACTGGTGTCCATGGGAATTGACCCCAAAGCCARCAAGGCTGGTACCTGTCACCCCAGAGCCCCAGCTCCTACCTGCACCACGATCAGCTTCCTCTCCCTGGGTTTTCCATCMGGCCACTCTTCCCCAAAACAGAAGTAGATCTCGTATGGTGGCTGCTTCTCAATTTGTCCTTTCTGATGGGCAATCAGCTCTATGRAGAAAAGCAGAATGCTGCAGGGTTATCCTCTTTAGGCTGGAAACACCCACGACATCCCAGCTCACTGCATTACCCCCAGTCTTCCCTACACACTGTCCTCAGCCACCTCTCACACAATTACAGCTCATTTCTTGCATGTAAAGTGCTTTCTTTAAAAGCAGGGCTCTCTGATGTCCCTCAGAGCATTAAACACAGTCCTTTTTCCTGCCATACACCCGCTCTGAGCTCCCCTGAAATTGGGGAAGCAGTGGCCTTGACCCACTCTGCACACACAGGAATTACCTGGTGCATCCAGGCAGAGCCCAATGCAAACCACCCTTTCCAACAGTGTCCAAAGCCATTTTTTCCAGAGGCAGAATTACCTACCGCTTAGGAACGTTTCCAGACAGAAGAGCTTGACCTTCTTCTGCCTCTCGATGAGATTTGGGGTGGTGGAGGAGGGCGCRCAGGGCCCTGACCAGTACACCTTGCACTGGCACAGCCGCACGGCGTAGATGGCGTGGCCGCTGACCTCCAGGATCAGTCCCCTGTCCATCACATCCAGCAGCCGACTGGTGAAGATTTTCTGCCTTTCGTTGGTGATCTGCTCCGTCCCTGGGAACTTCACCTGCTCCAAGCTGATGGGCCCAAAAAGCTCCTCCTGGTCTGGCATGGGACCCAGCTCTCCGTAGAAAAGTCTGCAGCCCTGAGGGTTGCTCACGGTCGTCGTGGGTCCTGTCTCCTTTCCTCGATATTCAAACTTGATTTCCAGGTCTGTCACTGAGAGAGAAAGCGTCAGTGTGGCTGTTCCTGGAGCACTGCWGTGTTTCACAAGCACACCAGCACAGGAACACCCACAGCCCTCACTGGGATGTTTAAACCTCTCACAGTCCTACTGAAACCACACAAATTCTCCTTGCTCACCCGCTAACAGCCACAGGGAAAAAAGGCAAAACGCTATTTTTGTGGGGTTTTAAAGGACCAAAGCAGAAGCACTGTCACAAACCCATGCACGTACTTGGCAGGGAGCTGATCCAGAGCTCGGGGCTGCTGAAGAAGTCGTGCTGCAGTGCCGTCGGGGGCATTTCCATATCCAGGGGTTCGTTCTTTGGCCACACGGTTTCAGAGCTGCAGTTTTCAGCACTGGCTGGAGCCATGGGCGAATCTACAAAAAGGCAGCAATCCTTCAATAAACCAAGGTTTTATTTCAAGCACGTGGCAAATTACACACAAACACCTTCACTAATACRTTAGTCTGGGCCACCAACCATTGATATTAAGAAATGGAAATGTCTCTTGAATTGGGACATTGGGACAAGACTGATTCAATTCTTCCTCCTCTTCATCATCAAGATCATTATCCTTTTCATCCCACGGAGCTGAGCCAGTGGAACCTGCAAACAAACACATTCTYGTGGGTGGATGATCAGCATGAAACCCTGAAAAAATGATGTCATCTTCATATTGGTTGTGCGCAATGCTGGATATAAATTGATGTATTTTTTAAATGTAAGTAAAAAAAGGATAAATCTGATCCATACAAGATGCTCATTTCAGTTTAAYATATAATTCTAGAAAGCTAAGGTTAAAATATTGATGGAGTACAACACAGTATTGCCAATATTACACTGTTTAGCAGGAAAATATTAAACTGTGAGCAGCTTTGTTAATATTTTAGTAGGAAAGCATGGTTCAAAGTCCTTTCAGTTGAAGCTGCACAAAGGCAGCTGGAGAGTTAATGCAGAGAGGGAAGGAGCTGTGTTGGACCAACGCCTGCCCAGGAGCCAGCCGTGGCAGCAAGGCACTCACCTGGATTAATGATTGACCCCTGTGACTGCGGGATGTCACACACTTCATAAATTTTAATGGGGTTCATGGGCACCTCCTTGGTGCCATCGTACATCAAATTAAATTCCCGGCTCTTGTTAAGTGCACATCGGAGCTGAGCCTTCCACTTTGCAGGGTCTGGCTCGTCCACTCCTTCCTGGTACTTTCCTGTTTCCACGGCCCATGCCTGGGGACAAAGTACAGTGAGATCAGTCCAGCCTCCCTCCCCACAGAGCACCTTTTATCAAAATCAAACTTCCAAACAAATCCACTGTAAAATCCTTCTCTTAATTAAAGCTCTTGTGATTACAAAAAAAAAAAAGGAAATTCCCGTTTTAATAGTTTTTCCCATTAAAAGGAGGGGAGAAAAAAAGATGCAAAGCCAAATTAAAACTAGCAATGCTGAACATGCAATTTGTATATGACCATGCACAAAGTTTTTCTGGGTCTCAGATTCAATACCAGAAGTTATTTTTGACAGGGAGCTTGTGCAGAAGGAATGGACTCGGTTAAAATGGAGTGGAAGGGCAGCCACAGACATCTGGCTGGCCTCTCCCTCTCTCGCCCCAAAATCTGATTATTGGTCCAAGATCCCTCCAAGACACAGGTCAGAAATTCCTCAAAGGAGTGTAGGGAGTCCCATTGAATCCCTTAGGATAAGAGTATTAGGGATAGCAGCGATGAGTGCTTGYGATGAGCTTGTGGTGGACCTCTTAAGATTTATGTAACAGCATTTCATGGTTTGCTGCCAAGASGAGCCAGTGACCACATCCCAGCCCAGATGAAGCCAACAGCAGTCATCTTCATCTTCCAGAGGCCATGGATCCCACAGCACCTGGCCTTTGGAGGTTGGAAAGGGTTAAAGAGCTCCACACGGTCTCAGGCAGTGCCAAGCCTGGCACCCAGGTGCACAAAGTGGCTTTTCTGAGGTCAGATAAATAAAAAGCGCCTGGAAACAGCTCCCGAGCCAACAATCCAGCCCTTTGTGTCTGTCTCAGAGCCCTGAGCTGTCSCTGCCTCACCTTGAAGATGGTGTTCTCCTCCTCGTGCTGGGGGCTGTGTCGTGTCGCGTGTTTCCAGGGGATCTGGAAGCGTTTYGCCTCCCGGTTCAGCCAGATCAGCCCGGGGTACATCCCACTGTCCACCTGCGCCACCAGCCACGGCTTCAGGCGGACCCTCCGYGGGTGGAGAGCCATGGTCTGCAAGGGATARCAGCAGAGCCACTGCTGCACGTTAYTCCTGACTCATTTCCTTCTAAAAAAATGAATTAATTTAACRAGAAAGGGCCCTRTGCYGTATAACCGCTGTTATTTTCTATGYTACTGCACCCTGRAACCACCAATTCAGATTCAGCTGGATGACTCCTCTGCGAGGAAGAGTCACACACAGCTCAGTAAGCGGGGACCAGAACTGTGACAAGGACAACTATTCAATATTGCAGAGCGTTATTTGTGTTCAGCGAGCACCGAGCTGCAAACCCTGAGCAGGAGATAAAGCCAYGAACAAGCCACAGCAAGAACAGGCAGCAGAGTTTCCAAAGCCTCCCCGTACACCTGGAGAGGGGGCTGATCTGATCTGCTGCTCCTTCAGTCCTGTGAGGAGGAGAAAAGCTCCCCCTGATTGAGAGCTGAGGGGCCGGGCGGAAGCACTGGGGCTGTTTTACCACAGGGACACACTCTGAAAGGCATTTTACGACTTTTCCATGAATGCCCTGAATGCAGCATAATSACTGGCAAACAGCACTGACCTGTAATAACCAGGATGTTTATCCAGAAGGACATGAACTGCAAGTCTGCCTGCRCTGCTGCTCAGAAATCGAGTGCTGTTTACTTAATGTTTTTGTTAAGTAGCCCTGTGTTGCTCATACAGTTGCAGCCAGCCAACAATATTTTCCTTGTGTAGAACAAAGCCAAACAAACAAAATTAATGCCTGACACTCTCCAAGAAGAGGCAACATTCAGTATCTTTAGATTTTGGGAGGGGATTTCTACACTGCACATGTGCTCAGAAGGTGCATCTCCCATATACGTTTGTAAATCCTGAAACAGAGGTGAGAAATTACAAATGTTCTCATTAATAAAGCAGTTGCAGGACAAGCAAAGCCTTTGCCATAAGCCCTGAATATTGCTGGAGGAGTTGCAAAATGGTAGCAGAGATGGAGAAGATTAAAAAATCCTATCCAAGAACTAGTCTAGGAACAGGTTTTATTTGTTCAAATACCTGCAGTTCCCATTCAGATGCRAGCGCTCACACAAAATTAATCCAAACACAACTCAGTTTATCTGTTTATCTTTTCTGCARAGAAAATGTTCAGCTTCAACTGCAAACCATCTTTAAATAATAGTTTGAAAATGTGTGGGCACGTTACCACCCTCTTTCCCAGGAGCTGYAAAGGATCAGGAAGCAATCATCGAAATTATTTTAGTGCTCCTGAAACTCTCCTGTGTTAGTTCTTCATGTTGAAAATGCTGTCAGAATTACTTTTTCAGAAGGTGCTTGCAAAGACACAAAGTCCAGGTTAATCCTGGACTTAAAACTGAGCCCAAAACCAGGTATTGCTTTCTCTTGGAAAGGAAAAACARAAGTGACATTTTAAAGAATCCTTACTACGGCTCGTTTCCACAATCTCTTTTACACTTCACTTTACAAGCAGTGCCTTCTCATAACGCGTGCTGTGTACACACACGTTTGCAAGGGCAGGGGGAAATTCAGACCCCCCAAAACGGGAGATTTGTGCCCCCTCACAGCAGATGACAAGGGTGACAAGGGTGACAAGGGTGACAAGGCAGGCGCTGGCATGGATTGTCCCTGGTTCCACAGACAGCGTCTGTCAGAGCTCCACATTACAATGCTTTACGACCTTTTATCACCAATGACTTGTTGACACAATAACTGAGAGCAAATCAACTTGAATCCCATGGCAGGGCTCAGACGGTGAGTCAGCCTCTCACAGCCTTCAACTTCGATCCGGTGGGTTCCACCGATGCCAAACACCGGGGAATGTCTGGGCACACTCAGCACCTCTGCCAAGGCAGGCTTGGCCCTCTCTCGAGCCTCCTCAGCACACAAACCCACGGATTATCCAATTCCTTTATTCCCCACTCGATTTGGGTGGTGTTTGGGGATAATTAGCACATCCCTGTGCTGCTAATGCATCTCTGGTCAGTGATGTAATTATTGCCTGTACCCTAATTATTAGTATTTCTCCTTGGAGACATTCACTGCAACAAGAACAACTCAAACAAACTCCGGAAGGAGCAGACAGCCTGCAGCCACTCCCCCGAGGGCTGCAGAGGAGTGACCAAGGTCGGGGACAGCYCCGGTGACACTCGGGGCTCTGCTGAGATGCGGGACAGTCCAACAACACACGGGGCACCAGGAAAAGAAAACCGAGCTGAGCCCGACTCAGCTTTGCTGCATAGATGCTTTCACTCCCTGCCTGCAGCCCCAAATATATTCAGTGTTCCTGCTCCACCTCATCCGTTAAAGCCTGTGAAGAAGGAAGGGTCTTCTCAAGGGTCACTGCTGTGAACCCACAGACCCTGCTCTTTGGTTTGATTACATTATACCGTATTTCATGGATCTGTATCGTTTTTTTCAAAGGCAAACCTTCCCACAGAGAAACACTCTGAATTTCCATCCGACGCTAAATGACCTCCCCACACCGGGAWCAGGGAGGTCCCCGTTTAATAGGACTGCACATCTCCTGTCCCATGCAGCCCGAAAGCGGCTGTGGGTGAAGGGGATGGGGTAAAACACCCCGTTTGCCCACAYTTAGGCCTCACTTCACAGCGGCTGGGAAGGCGTAGCCCGGGGCGAGCAGAGTACAGCCCGCGGAGGAGATGGAAGCAGCGCTAAATTGCCATTTTCAGCGGGTTCTGCCCACCCGGAGCCGCCCCTTCCAGCCGGACCGGGCCGCTCCAGCTCCGCACGGAGCCCCGAGAATGCCCG